ACTTTCGATTAAAAAACTGGTGAAAAAGGTGTGACACCACAGTGGGGCTGCTTGGTGTCACACCTCTTACACCAATTTTTAAGTCAAAGTCTTTTTGTAAGGGTTACTGACGGTCCCAATCATGAATATGGAACTACTTGAGTCACAATTCTCCACGGACTCTCATAGGAGTCAAATAGAATCTGTATGCCAGAATTTAGTTTCCAACTGGCAAACGCATGAACAAAGCGAAACGTAAAAAAAACGAAAACGATGATTTTTAGTGCGTGGAGCCGGGGGTTACAGTAACATGCAGACTTGGTATAATACTTTAATCTCACCCGCGACCAGCGCAACCCATAGAGCTCGATTAGAATTTCTTTCCCAGATGAAAATATCGTGATTTTGTAACCCCCCCCCCACCTCCCTCCCTCCCAAAAAAACTACACCGTTTCGTCGGAATTTGGTTATGCTTCCGCCCGGACATGCGAAAAGTGAGTCACTTTGGTTCTGACCCCAAACGACGCGAAAGGCTTCCGGAGCTGAGTCACAACTGATTCATCGATTGGATTACCTGTAGAAAAGTTTACGAATTTTTTCTCGAAAATAAGCTTCGTCAGTGAACATGAAGTTCCGCAACAGAATTGTGCTTGAGCCTATACCACCTTTTCTCATATAGGTTGATGCAATGAACAGGATTTTGATTGTTAAGTGCTGTTTTGGCCGCAGTTCGCCTTGCGAATGTTTCACAAGAATGCTGGGTTGTGAACAAAACTTTCGCCCAGACGGGACTAGAACCCGCACCGGGAAAGTGCGCTACCAGTTACGCTACCGGGGCACCATTTCATTCCAACTCAGCTTTTCATGGTATACTCAGAAATCCTGGTGAGCGAGAGGTGCGGGTTCGAGGCCCGTCTGGGGCGAAAGTTTTGTTCACAGCCCGGCATTTTTGTGAAGCAATGAAGAGGGTTCTTACAATATAAGCTGTGAGAATCGTAGCTTGAGAAGGAATTATTGAAAAGGTTCGATAATGCTTCTCCCGAGGGTATCAATGTCGCCCCTCAGGATGCACCGCGAACCCATTAACGGGGACGACATCACGCATTTTGGCTTTTTTGGCTGCATGGAACAGATGCGAGTTTGCGAACGTGATTGCCCCACCTCCATTTGCGGGTTTTGTAAATACACAAATGGAGAGATGGTACAAGCAAGTTCAACAACGTCCAGTATGGTGATGTCATTCGGAGGTGAAAGCGAAGAAGTTCGACCAAAAGGACGTGCTGTGGCTTTGAGAAAGCAATTTCACCTTTACCGTGTGATGCTCTCAAAAATATAGTACTTCGGCGGTTTTTCTCGGCAAAAAATATATTTTGCCACTGAATAGGTTTGTAAAACCTTTTTATACCCTTTTTTGCTTGAATGGTAATGCCAGTGAAAGGAAAACGAGTAATAAATCGAGCTGGTTTCATAAAGCCTCGAAAAAATCCGCCAAACTGAAGCAGGATTTGACCATTCTGTGAACCACTTATAATTATGTTAATGTCTGATCAGGGGAGTGAGAGTGAAAAAATTATTAAGGTAAGGCGCGAAAAAAGTGGGCGCGCCATACATGGTTGCCACAATGTCCCAGCGTGGCCCGCAAAAGCGGCACGCATGGTCGCCGCGCTGTCGCCAGCGTGCTAAAACTATTGCCATTTGAACACGAGTTAATCATCTACCACGATCAGCAACTGCCGGCTGATGCACAAATCAGTTCTTTCATTCTTCAAGCACCTCAGGCACCGAATTTGGAATAGTGGTAAAAGGTTAACTTGGACTAGGTCCGATCTGGCTGTTCACGAATGAGGCCTTTTATCTACCTAACCGCCCGCTAAGCACACTAGCCC